GCCAAGTGTGCAGGGGAGAGGAGTGATTAGTTGGGAATAGAAACCGCTTTTTTTATTTAAGTTTCTTTTTTAATGTTTATTTATTTTGAGAGAGAGACAGAGAGCATGAGCAGGGGAGGGGCAGAGGGAGAGGGAGAGAGAATCCCAAGCAGGCTCCACACTGTCATTGCTAAGCCTGACACAGGGCTCAATCCCACGAACCGTGAGATCATGACCTGAGCCCAAATCAAGAGTCAGACACTCAACAAACTGAGCCACCCAGGGGCTCCAGAAAAGGCTTCTTCATAGGAATAATAGCAAGCGTTTATTCTAGGACGCCCTGTTCTCAGTATTTAACATATGCTCATGCGCCTCATCCTCGAAATAGCAACAGGGCAAGTACTATTGTTACTTCCGTCTTACAGGTGAGGAAATGGAAGCCCTGAGAAGTTTAATGTCGTACGGGATTGCTGCAGAGCTGGGACTTGCACCCGGGCCTCTGGGTGCTAACGTCAATGAGCTTCACTGTGGCGTTGTACTGCATGGAGAAGATCCTGGAAAGGTAAGGGATCATCAAGCATGGAGGCCGTCTACATAGTCAAGGGCACGGAGGGCCGCCTGTCTGTTCAGCTCGGATGTGGGTGCACAGGGGAGCGGGATGGTGCAGGGAGGGGGCACACTCAGTAGCAAGTGAGAACCCACTACGACAGCCTTGGATGTTCTCTTTATTTCTCGAAAGGTAATTTCATTGCAAGTTCAAACCTCTTGCACGATCTCTCTTCTAGGCCATCCTCTCCATTTCTAGTCTGTTTCTTTAAAAAAAAAAATTTTTTTTAATGTTTATTTATTCTTGAGAGAGAGGCAGAGAGACAGAGCGTGAGCAGGGGAGGGGCAGAGAGAGAGAGAGGGAGACACAGAATCGGAAGCAGGCTCCAGGCTCCAACCTGTCAGCATAGAGCCCGACGCGGGGCTCGAACCCACCAATTTTTTTTTTTTAATGTTTGGTTTGCTTCTTTACCCCAACTGCTGTAGTGGCTCTTGGGCATCCAGAATCAACCTTTTCCTCCAAAAGAAATACACAAACACCCACGTGCCCTGTTGGCCTCTCCACTAGCCTGTGGCCCTTATCACACCCCTTTGCTCCCAGCGCTCCCCCCAGCACCACTTTCCACCAATCCCATTGAATTTTGGTGCTTCCCCCGCCCCACCCCCACCTCGCTCTGATAGAGAAAATGGACTTGGGAGACGTGTCCTCCTCTGAACTGCTCTGGCAGTGGGGTCTCAGCCAGTGGCTGCCTGCTCGTGGGCTGCAGGGTTATTGCAAGAAGTCTCTGTGTCTATTTGTACTCCAAATACTGTCTGCCGACTGTATAAGTAACGTCTGGGTAACTGACTGTGCTGCTGCTCTTTGGCGGTGCTGCTTCCCTGGTCATTTTTCCACTGTGAATTTCCCTGGTTGACTAAAACCCTAAATAACAGCTCCATTCATTTGCAGGCTCGCAACAATTTCCAAAGCGGGGAAGGAGTCCTCCTGTTAGAGCAGGTTGGAAACCACTGAGCCGGGCTGTGGAGGCAGCATGTTCTACCCCCTCAGCAGAGACGGAGTCATGAGACCTGAGGTCAGGTTCCAGCCCCTCCCCTGGCTGGTTGGATGATCTTGGGGGCCATCCCATGTGACTTGGAGAGCTTTGGTTTCCCCACCCTGGAGCAGAGATCACGAAAATTATTTGGCTGGATTGTCAAGAAGATTAAATGAGATAGATAAAGGGCTTTGGAAGCCGTGAGGCTTTGCGGAAGTGGAAGGATTGTTGTGGTCATCTTCTTACTTCTTAAGGGCAGGGACAGTTCCCTCAGTGACGCCCCTCACCCCCATCACCTCTTGCACTCACACGGGACTATGAGATGACCTCGTAAAAACACCACCAAGGGACTAGCACAGCAGCTCAGCACACAGCAGGTGCTTAATAAATTGTAGCTGCTACGGATGCATGGGCATCTGGCTGAAATCTTCTCTCTGCCACTGCTGAGTTAGGGAGCGTGGCCGTGGGCAAGGTTAGCACTGACATGCTCTAGTGTCCTCGTCTACCACATGGCTGAGAAGAGCAGCTAGTTCATGAAGTGGCTGTGACACAGGAGGAGTTGTGTGTGTAACAGAGCCAGGCACAAATCAACCACTCTGTAGGCAGCAGCTGTTGTTATTATTATTTTTCTGAATTTTTTAAACATTTATTAATTCTTGAGAGAGACGGAGCGTGAGTGGGGGGAGGGGGAGGGGCAGAGAGAGAGGGAGACACAGAATCCGAAGCAGGCTCCAGGCTCTGAGCTGTCAGCACATGGGGCTTGAACCCATGAACCGTGAGATCATGGCCTGAGCTGAAGTCAGACGCTTA